CATTTAATTATATTCTTAATGCAATTCTTGGATTAGCTATTCAATTGAATTGAACTTAGAAGATTTTCATCAATGAAAGTTGAGTTAATTTCTCATATATAAATTAAATGTCAAGGTTATTGATATATTAGGGATAAGCATTCATGATCTTGTGATCTGTTAATTTCTAATGCCTAATGCAATGTTTGATTGATTTACACCTAAGGAATTAAGGTAGTTAATTGAATATTAGGATTAATGAGTCAAGGAATTGAACTTTGATTAATTTAGTGAAATTAATCATCAATCAATTAAGGAACTTAGAGTTCAAATCTCATTCAGTTTTATAATTGATAAAGAGGTGAAATCATTCCTAACTCTATTCACATATCATCTTATTTCTGAACTTTACACTTTGTTATACTATTACTTTCCAATTTTCTGCACTTTATTACTTTTGTCTTCAAATGTTCAAATTCCAAATTTTGTTTAGCTCAACTAATTATTGATTTGTGAAGTGATAATTGAAAGAACTAATCCTTGAAGACGATATTTGGGACTCAAATGAATTAGAAAATTATTTTATAACTTACTACAACAATACTAATACACTTGCTAGTTAGTGCTCTCTCAACTTGTGATAGGGACCAAGGCAGAAGGAACCATAGAAGGAATAAAGGATAAAAAATAGATATCTTTTTCCCCTTAAAGTTTTAGTACTTCAAAGGTTCTATAACTCTTTCTAGAGAGTAGAGGAGAAAAATGGAGGAACTTCATAGGAAGCTTCTTCTAAAATAGGTCTTCCCACAAGTGCGCTTCCTAAGCTTATTGGCCTAGAGCATGAAACAAAGAGGAAGGATGGAATTACTTCATAATTTATAAACATTGCAAGGTATAAAGAAGTGTGTTCAGATGAACGTTCCTCGATATGCCTGAGCAAAGGTATGATGATCAGTGAAATTGAGAGAGTGCTAGCTCTAGAGATTAGGAAATCATGGGTAATATTTGGCTTAAAGGAATTTCAAGCACATTTTACTCTAGTAGGTACATTTTACATCTTGAAATGGAGATAATGGTTGTCTCTCAGTGTACTGTTCGGTGGGCAAGTGTACCTATCGAGAAGTAATAAAGAGTTCTTAAATTAAGTTCCCGAATTATCATCTTATAAGGATTGTTTTTCAATTACTAAGAGTTTCCTAATTCAATTGTTTGAGCTTCAAAGATATGAGATTAATTAAAACAATAATTTATAAAATCAATTATAGAACTAAGAACAAGGAATACAATGCAGGTTTTGGTTGAACTTATCAGAGAAAAACCTAGGGCATATGGGTTTTCTCATTCAATCGTTTATGTTATTTTTTTGTTTAATTTTAAGTTTGATTTCCTTATGATTACCAATCATTCATACAATTACTATTAATACCAAAAGGTCATGTAATATTAATATTATTTTTCTCTAAACTAACATCCTCAATGGTCATGCAAGATATTAATTCAAGAAAGCATAAAACACTTATGAACTTGTTAATTTAATAACAACTGAAAGAGAAAGATTAGTTTGGTCCACCTAATCTTTTGTCTTGTTTTATCCTATAGATCTATTAACTAATCAAGGTACAGTCGTTCAACGATATAATTAATTAGGATTATACAATTATGCCCAATAGCATTAAAACTAATCACGGACGGAAACTTAATTTAGATTCAAACATCAAAATCCTATAAATTCATGAAAAAGTATTTTCATAACCCTAGCTATGGACTTAGTTACTCATGTTAAAGATAAAAACTAAAATAATAATAAATAAAGCCATAGAGAAAAGCAAACTAGAATGAGATGGGTTCTCAGTCTTCAAGTACGGTCGCTCGAAACTCTAAGTCCTACAAAGAGTATATCAGAGATCATGTGCAAGAGAGACAAGATGAAATGTGTATCGAAGAGCAAAAAACAAAATATAAAACTGGATGTTTGGGGCCTCTCTTTTATTGGGTTTGAAAACTCTAAAAGCTCTTCATAATTTGACTTCCTGCAGATAAACACAATCATGCTTAAACTTGGTACATAGGCGTGCTGGTCAATATGCACGATCGTGTATGTGTTCATAGCACTCCGTTCTTGATGATAGGGTCTAGGTTTGATGACTGCTGCGAAACTCTATTTTCCAACCAATTTAGGCCCAAAACACATCTTAAACCATTTGTGATCTTTTTAAGTTAAACTGCACAATATACAAATAAATCAATGTAAAATTCTAATAAAATAAAGGTCAAATATCAATATATACGTTGTAAAAGAGAGTATAATTACAGACTTATCATGTACCTTGCATCTCAAGGCATCAGTCAACCCTTTTATAAGACGAAAACATGTCTAAAGATGGAGGTAGACTCATTTCCCTAAAATAGCACTAATTATGCTTACTTAATTCACTTCTACAAGTTGAGCGTCTATGATTTTTTTATTATTGTGTATTTTATAAATTTATGAAAGTAACACGCATGAAACTGTTGATCTTGAAACATTGTCTAAAATTAAAATGTAAGCTAAATTTTCTTATCAAAATTTTTGAAGCCATAATGCGTTAGTTTAACTATATGTCATGAGGGGTGTTGATTTGTTTCCTTTTTTTACTTCTCTAAAATATGAAAAGTTTTAATTTTTTATTGGAGTGTTGCTAAACAACATTTGTAAGAACAATTTATAAAAACTTAATAAATAATTTTTTACTAAAAATTATATTAAGGATACATTATAAATTATGATATGGATAAATTAATAATACTTTTTAATATAAAAATATTTTAAATTCTTAAGACATTAGTTAACATTCATTGTTAATTACTATTAGGGGTTTTATTTTGTTTATTGTTGAATATCGTTAGCAGCATATCATTTATCTTTTCTCTAGTATATTCTTCATGATTAAATGAATTATGTAACAAAACCTTATTGGAGTAATGAGACAATGGCTTTACTAGGAGAAAATTGCAATTGGGACTCATTGATGTGGTAGTAGCACTTTGTGTAGTGAAACTAAAAAAAAACCAAAAGAAAAAAATTCCATGTAATAATAAAAATCCTCTGCAATTTCAAGGTATTACAATACCCTAATTGTATGATGGTTAAACTGAGGTTTTTCGATAGAAATATAGCTGTACATAATATTATATCACTGTTTGGGATAAGGAAAAATTTCTAAGTTAAAAAATCATCTTGAATGAAACTACATCTCAACAAGTTTTAAAGGTCAAGAAGGGGACAAAGATAAGTCTGAACATAAAAGAATATTAGAAGATTATCTAAGATCTTTGGTTTTAATTAAAAGGGACATATTTCGAGCTATTTTAGGAGATTTTTGTCACATTGTTGATTTTTCTCTAAACTGCTTGAAAGACAAGAAAATATTCTAAGACCACAAAACTAAAGGCTTTTTTCGAGAAGTTTTAAGGAGTTTTTAAGTCACTGACACCCAAAACTACTCGAAAAATAAAACTGGCAAGAAAATATTCTAAGTCCACAAAAACTGATGGCTTTTCGAGGAGTTTTTGAGGAGTTTCCAAGTACCTGACAAACAAAACTGCTCGAAAAACAGGAAGTGGTAAGAAAATACTTTTAAGTCCACAAACCTAGCCAAGCTCCAGATTTCCTCCAGAACTGCTCGAAAATAAGAAGTGGTCAGAAAATATTCTAAGTCCATAAATCTGGTCGAGCTGCAGAGTCCCTCCAGAATTGCTCGAAAAACAGAAATGAGCAAAGAAAATGTTCTAAGTCCACAAGACCAAGACAGGCTCTCAAAACTCTAGAATGGCTCAAAAAAAGAAGTCAAGAAGAAACTATTCTAAGGCCATAACATTAAAAGAATCTCCTAGATTTCTCTCAGAAATACTCGAAAGATAAGAGTCTTGAAAAATCCAAAAGCGGTTACCAGTAGTTATCAACATTCACCACTACGCAATGGAGATCATGGGCGATAGCAGTTACAGCCCTAACAAATAGTACGATCACAAGCAATCGTGGATAGTGAGCATCAACAGTTGAAGGCAATTACTAAGAAGTGCCCGCAAAAGGAGGAAAACGGTGGTAATTTTCATGTCTATAAATACTCCAAAGCACCATTTCACAGAGGACGACTTTTTGCACCCAGACACTGCACCTAAACTCTCTGAGACGCTGAAACCCTGCACCGCGCCAGACACCAGCTACAAGAAGACCCACGGTGGCCGCTGTTCGCCGTTGTGAGGAGTCGTACGTTTACATTTCAGCATATTTACATTCATGTACCTTTACATTCTGCATTTCAATTCAAGTTTCTTCGTTTGTTTACTTTTGTTCTTGTTTCTGTAATTCATTTCTTATTTCATACTTTTCTGTAATGAACCTCTACGTTTGAGTCAATTCTGCACGTTTAATATTCACTATTCTTGCTAAATTGCTGAATTTACGCGTCCATTTCACCGTTACGTTAACAACACACTTAAAAGAACCCAAAGAGGACCTAAATCCAGTCCCAGATTGATCTTTGGATTATTTGTTTACAACTGTCATTTTTCACTGTAAACAAATTGGCATGCCCAATGGGACCATATTGTGTGTTTTGAGTGATTGATTGTTTTGTTGTATGATATTACGCAATGGACGTTGTATTATGGCTAATAGAGGAAGAAATAATGATTCTAGTTCTGGGAATGGCAATTCTAAAAGTGATGGTAGTGATACCAACCCAGAAAATGTAAGCGGCACTACTACTACTGCCGCACAACCCACATTAACAACGGCGTTACCTACGCCATCATCTCCCGTAGTTAGCCAATTTATGGTTACTATGCCACCAACCAATCCCAGCATAAATCCTGGCCCAAGGCCAAGCCTGGGTGATCATCCATTTGGCTTACCTCCTGTGTGTATGCCGCCTATCTTTGGAGTATCAACCTACTCCAATCCTATGGTGACAACCGTGTCACCCTAGAGTCACACCATTCCACCAGGAATGGGTGTACTCCATACCATTCCACCGAGAATGGGTACGATTGGTGGAGTACCTGAAACGCAATTTGCGTTTGGAGCTTCGAGTGGGGATTCACTTCCTGCTAGCTCGTTTTTGAATGTTGCCTTACATTCCATGAGGCAACAAATGGATGAAAGCAATCACGAGATGGTCAATATGCTGACTCATCAAATGACCGCTGTGTTTAATCTCATAATGGAAACGACTAATACCAGCTATCAAATTTTGGCTGAACAAATGCGTCGAATTGCTGACGTTTTTGGGGCACCTCAAGTCCTTATAAGGCAAGGGCAAAATGTTGCCCAAACATCTAATCGAGATGCCACAAATCTTGGTCGAAATGGTCAAATTTTTGAGTAGAATAGACCAAATTTTGGTCCAAATCTTCCGAGACAAAATGAGGGAAATTTCCAGGTAGACCAACCCCTAGTTTTTGCTAGAAATCCAAATGCTCCATTTGAGCAAATTGGTCGAAATCTCGACCAAAACCTTCTGAGACAAAATGAGGGTGATTTCCAGGGAAATCAACCCGTTATTGTTGCTCGAAATCAGAATGCTGATGAAATACTTGAACAAGTTAGGCAAAATAATGTAGGGGGCATCAAATTCAATATCCAAACAACCCGAATCCTCAAAATATTGCCAATGTAGTCGAACAAGTTCTGAATCAACATGGGTTCGACGTAGGGTATGCTAATAGACCCTACTTTGTCTCAGCATTCTCTGAGGCAATTTTGCAGGCTGAACTGCCTCGAGGCTGGAAAGTCCCAAAATTCACTAAATTTGCCGGAGATTCCGGTGAATCCACAGTAGAACATATAGCTAGATACTCCATAGAATGTGGAGATTTAGCTCGAAATGAAGATTTAAAGTTGAAGTACTTTCCTAGTTCTTTGACTAAGGGGGCCTTTACCTGGTTCACAACCTTACCCCCGAATTCAATTCATAATTGGAATCAATTAGAAAGAAGGTTTCATGAACAATTCTTTCGTGGTGAAGCGAAAGTTAGCTTAATGGATTTAGTTAATATAAAAAGAATACATAATGAATCCATTGATGATTATCTAAGTAGATTTCGACAAATGAGGTCGAGATGTTTTACTCAAATTCCAGAATATGAACTAGTCCAAATGGCTGTAGGCGGATTAGAGTACTCGATTAGAAAGAAATTGATTAATCAGCAGCTAAGAGACATGTCGCAGTTAGTGACAAAAGTGAGGCAAATCGAGCAACTTTAGGCTGAAAAATTTGTCCCTAAGAAAATAGAGAAATTTTCTCGAAAAGACAAAGTGGCTTACATAGGTCTCACTGAAGGAGAAATAGGAAGCGAGAATGATCTCGACGAAGAAGATGTCGATTTAGGGGTAAATGAGGTAAATGTAGCTGAATTAAAACCAGGACCCCCTTATGTTTGCCAATCTTTAAAACCACTCAAAATTAAGGACAAAACTCGACCTAATAAGAGTTATGCCTTTGATGTCTCTAAAACTGATCATAATTTTGACATTTTATTGAAAAATGGGCAAATTATATTATCTGATGATCATAAAATCCCTACTCTAGAACAAAGAAAGGGTCAAAAATATTGTAAGTTTCATCATGTTTATGGTCATTGGACTAATACCTGTGTTCGTTTCAGGGATCTTATTCAAGACGCCATTAAGCAAGGACGATTGAAATTCGAGCAAAAAACCAAAATGCCGATGAAAATCGACTCTGATCCCATGCAAATAGAAGCTAATTTCGTGGAACCTATCGACATACTGATGGTCGATGTTGCTGAAAAACAGGGGTCATTCGATCGAGCTGTAGAAGAGTTAGAAGGAAAAGGCTCTTTGAATGACACCCTCGAAGCCTTCGAGAAGGAAGAAGCTGAAATCTTCCCAAGGGCTGGTGACTCGCTGCTGGACTTTCTAACTCGAAAGAAGGAAGCGGACAGTGAGGTCATGCTGTGCCCAAGGTGCAGCGTCGTCTTCGATAAAGCGGCGGCTAAAGCCTTCAAGCAATCAGAGATGAAGAAACACTATCAGGTGACCACCAACCAGGTGATCACCAAGAACAAAGGGATCCAGACCCAGAATGCTTCTATCACCATACGTGATCCCCAAACTGTTCAAAGCAGGATGATCGCGAGTGTCGCTCTCGGACAAATTAATAAAAATCGAATTGCATAAAAATTATGTAGTAAGTGGTGCAATCTGAGTCGTCTCCCAACGATGATAACGTTATACGATTATAAAATTTTTAGAGGGGGTTTGATTTATAGAATAACTAATTAGAATCAAAAGTTAAAAATAATTAAAAACTCTAATCCAAGAATTTAGAAGAACTACGACCACTCTATCATCGGATTCCAAGAAGATGCATCAACTAACAAATTAGTGATTAACATTAAATTTGAATAAAACCTCAATTCAAATTAAGCATTCACACGAGAACCCTCATGCATTCGATTAACACACAATTCACTCAAAGTTCAGAAACCTCTAGAACCTAATTGATTTGTGTTAATTTAATTCACCAATGCCATTAATCTTAGATCCCAAATCTGAAAATCTAATTCACACTTCTTCAAGAATTAATTACATACATCAACCGAATAATATATAATCAAACAATTGCACAATTATCAATCCAAACGAAGAACTTCAATTCAAAATCATAATTAGCAAAAGGAGAAAGAAGGAAGAGATGAAACCGAATTTGTTGTTGAATAAATTGCGAAATCAATCCTCAAGAGTGTCACGTCCCTTTTAATCCTTGGACTAGATGAAAGTCTAAGCCTCCATTAATGGAGGAAAATGAAAAGTAAAAACGGAGAAAAAAAAACAAGAGAGAAGAGAGGAAGAAGAAAAGAGAGGAGCCAAAAACAACTTAAAATTCAAAATTCAAAATTTCCGTTTGTCACTTTGTTCCTTTTTTTCGGCTATGAAAACTGCCTCTTTTTGGTTCATGGCCTGAAGGACAATTGTAGCCTTGGATGTTAGCTTCAAAACGCCACTAGAATGGGCTTAATCAGACATCTGTGGACTGAGATATGGCCCAAATACTGCAACTTGCTCAGGATCCGCGACTGCAGCGTTTCAACTTTTTCCAGGCCCAGTTTCAGTTTCTTATCATCGGAATTGGTTTCTGACCTCTCATAGGAATTGTCCACCTTTCTCTTAGCTTTCCTAAAAATCAAGAATCACAATTAAAGGAGTTCTAAAACTCAAGATATGGTCCAAAAACCAAAATAGTATCAGAATTTGCCAAATACTAGAAAAATTAAATAAAGCCCAAATAAAATTCAAACATCATAAAATGATCCAATTCAACCAATTAGGCACAAAAGATGATTAATGAGCTAGGAATTAGAGAAAATAATGTTATAAAAATCCAATTGATCAAATTCCCCCACACTTAGCTCTTGCATGTCCTCATGTAAGACACAATCAAGCAAATAAAAACATGTAACCTAAAAAATCATAGAATAATCAAAACAAATAAACAAATTCTCCAATGAATCCTTAGAAGTGCTAAACTAGGAACACAAGATCAAATAAAGCATCAAGAGTTCTACAACAATCAAACATCCAACTCCCAACCTCTCAAAAATGCAAGCTAAGCAATATCATTCAAAGTGTATAGATCAAGCATGAAAGATCTCACAAGATGGTGTATACAATCAACTCTCAAGTGTATGGTTCAAAGTGTTTCACTCAAGTCACTTCAAAAGACAATGCATTACCATAAGCTTGTTAATCTTCTACTTCTCCACTACTTACAATCATATGCAAACACAAATCAAGAGGACTTTATTCAATGGTTGTAATGGGGCTAAGGTAAGGGTAGGGAAATATGAGGATATGACAAGATACAACCAAAGAGAATAGGAATAACATTGGTCCTTAGACAAATCAAGCCATAACATACATTATTCTCCTTGGACTTCCTTTTCCTTTCATCAAAATTTTCCATTTTCTTTGTAATAAATTTTTTTTTATTTATTATTTTTTTTTCTTTTTTTTTCCTTGCATTATTTCTAAACCCCCACACTTGAAATGCAATAACATTAATGAAACCAATGCACTCCCTATTCCCTAAAGTTAGGTATAACATGATTTTTCACTTAAAGCTTATAATGTACTAGAAGCCAAAGAATGGTCAATAAGGCTCAAAGGGGCTAAACAAATGGAAAAATGCAAGGTAAGCTATATGGCCAAGTGGGTACAAATTTGAAAGAAATGCCTCTATCATGTTCATAATTGCATATGAAAATTGTAGCCTCAAAGAAGAATCAAAACAAGTTTTAGAATGACAAAATCTAAGAGGGAAAACACACAAGAAAGAAAAGAATGGCATGAATTTCAACCATCCAAAAATAAGGCTCAAAAGCTCACAAAGGTAAAGTCTAACATACTTAATCATACAAATCAAAATCAATCACCCAATTCACATATATCAAGATGAAGAAGCAAAAATGAAATCATGTAGGAACTCTATCCTCCTTAATGACTAATGCCTTAACTCAACAACTTCCAATTCAACAAAGAAAAACAAAACAAAACAAAACAAAACAAAACAAAACAAAAACAATGCTAAATAATAAAAACCTATTACTCTCTCCCCCACACTTCAACTTTACATTGTCCTCAATGTAATGTATAATGGAAATGTAAGCAAAATATAGTAAGGAAAAGCAGAGAGGAACTTCCTAATCAAGCATAAGTGGCTGCTAGCAAGCGGACCTCCTCAATGGTCTCCAAGAGTGTGTCCTCATGGAAAGGCTTCAAGCGGTGGCCATTCACTGTGAATACTTTATCTGTTCCAGGCTCCAAAATCTGTACAACACCATATGAAAAATTCTTAGTTACTATATAGGGGCCAAGCCACCTAGAACGAAGCTTACTAGAAAAGAACTTGAGGTGAGAAACTCAAATGCAAGACCATTATTGAATGCAAAAAATAAATTGAAAACTTCTAAAAGAAAAAAAATAATTATGAGTTGTATCCCTAGATATTCCTTCTTTTTCTCATAAATTTGCAGCACTTCATTTAATTGGGAACATGGAAGAAATAGCCGTGGAGGGATTTCCAGCTGCTTCATGAACTTAATAAGCTTCTCTTCATGCTCTTCATTTCCTTGATGTGCAGAACATCGTGTCTTGCTGCTGTACCTAGGCTGCTCCCTTGAATATACAATGATATAATATTTATATTTCAACTGCTCAGGAAATGGCTTTAACTCATATGCAAGGGGCAGCTTTAGAAAAGAAGGCAGTGTAAAAATTGGAGCTGAATCTGTCGTGGATGCATCATGATTTACTTTTTCAGAATCTGCAATAGCTGCATCAAAATCACCATAAACATATGTATCAATCTCAACACAGATGCTACATTTTGCAGAATCATTACATGCATCACAAGTAAAAGAATTAGGATAATTGGCTAGGTTAGGATAATTAATACAATCTAAAAATTCAAAAAACTCAGCCAAATTATCATCAACTAAATCATTCAACAAATTATCATGAAAAATTGAATGAAATGAAAGAGGAACAGGTTGCTCAAATTTTTCTTCTGACTCAGTAGAAGTGGTATGAGCAGTAGGAGCAAATTCTACACTTGCTGGGCTGCAATCACTTGTTGGAGCAGTAGCATTAAGATCTTTATCTATTGGTTGCTTCTCTTGCGAGTGTTTAATGGTCTTTCTTGAACTCAAAGTAACATTCTCTGGTTCAACAACTGGTTGTGCAGAAAGATTACTAGGACCTTGAGACTTTAGCTCGTTTACTGTTGTTGCTAACTGAACAATCTGATTCTTCAAGTTTTGAATGGATGCTTCTGTTCTTAGTTGGAAATTCAGATCGTTAATTGTCATCTCCCTTATCAACTCTTCGAAGGAAGGCTCATTTTTGGAAGGTGCAACATTTTGTGGTGGGGGTTGATATTGTTGCTGCGTAAAATTCTCCCATCCCAAGTTTGGATGACTCATCCAACCTGCAGGCTCATACAATGTAGGACAGAAATCAGTATGATGTTCAGGTGAAGTACAAATTTCACACAACATTGTAGCCCTTTGTGACAATGTCAACTGCTCGATCAAAGAAGCTAAATCATCTACCTTATTCTCTAGTCTTCTATGATCAGCCATATAAAAAGTTCTCTGAGCCATAATATCTAAATAAGAATGAAAAGAAATAATTCTTTTTTTCAGAAACCACCAATTGGTCTCCAACTTGTTGCCATTGCATAGATCTTGTTGAGCTATATGAAATGCATATATTACAATAAGAAATTAGAGCTGTATGCAAAAAGTTATGCCACTTTTAAGTTTGGATAGAGATCTACACATTCAGATATACGGCCGTGTACTTTTTCGATGAATGCAGAATGCAAAAATGCAGAAACACAACACAAAATATAGAGAATTGAATGATGTAATACTAAGCAAGGATAGATGACTACCCACTATGCTATTCAAAGGCTACTAAAATAGAATGCATAGACACAATTATGCTAAATGAAAAATACTAATTATGCAAAATCCTAATTAGATGTAAAACGCAACACATAATATGCAATGCAATCACACTAACACAGAATTACATAATCAAATAACATCATCATCCCCGGCAACGGCGCCAAAATTTGATCGCGAGTGTCGCTCTCGGACAAATTAATAAAAATCGAATTGCATAAAAATTATGTAGTAAGTGGTGCAATCTGAGTTGTCTCCTAACGATGATAATGTTATACGATTATAAAATTTTTAGAGGGGGTTTGATTTATAGAATAACTAATTAGAATCAAAAGTTAAAAATAATTAAAAACTCTAATCCAAGAATTTAGAAGAACTACGACCACTCTATCATCGAATTCCAAGAAGATGCATCAACTAACAAATTAGTGATTAACATTAAATTCGAATAAAACCTCAATTCAAATTAAGCATTCACACGAGAACCCTCATGCATTCGATTAACACACAATTCACTCAAAGTTCAGAAACCTCTAGAACCTAATTGATTTGTGTTAATTTAATTCACCAATGCCATTAATCTTAGATCCCAAATCTGAAAATCTAATTCACATTTCTTCAAGAATTAATTACATACATCAACCGAATAATATATAATCAAAAAATTGCACAATTATCAATCCAAACGAAGAACTTCAATTCAAAATCATAATTAGCAAAAGGAGAAAGAAAGAAGAGATGAAACCGAATTTGTTGTTGAATAAATTGCGAAACCGATCCTCAAGAGTGTCACGTCTCTTTTAATCCTTGGACTAGATGAAAGTCTAAGCCTCCATTAATGGAGGAAAATGAAAAGTAAAAGCGGAGAAAAAAAAATGAGAGAGAAGAGAGGAAGAAGAAAAGAGAGGAGCCAAAAACAACTTAAAATTCAAAATTCAAAATTTCCGTTCGTCACATTGTTCCTTTTTTTTGGCTATGAAAACGGCCTCTTTTTGGTTCATGGCCTGAAGGACAATTGTAGCCTTGGATGTTAGCTTCAAAACGCCACTAGAATAGGCTTAATTGGACATCTGTGAACTGAGATATGGCCCAAATACTGCACCTTGCTCAGGATCCGCGACTGCAGCGTTTTGACTTTTTCCAGGCCTAGTTTCAGTTTCTTATCATCGGAATTGGTTTCTGACCTATCATAGGAATTGTGCACCTTTCTCTTAGCTTTCCTGAAAATCAAGAATCACAATTAAAGGAGTTCTAAAACTCAAGATATGGTCCAAAAACCAAAATAGTATCAGAATTTGCCAAAACTGGAAAAAATTAAATAAAGCCCAAATAAAATTCAAACATCATAAAATGATCCAATTCAACCAATTAGGCACAAAAGAGGATTAATAAGCTAGGAATTAGAGAAAATAATATTATAAAAATCCAATTGATCACAGGACCTTCGTACCTGCTCAAAACGTTCCGAGCAACACATGGGTTCGAAACGTGCTGCACCCATCATTAACTCGACCAAAATTGCAGATGGTCGAAAAGGGCAGACCGTCACATTTGACGGTCATGCCACAACAAGTTTTCTCACAACCTAAGTTTTTCACTCAAACTGGGTTCCATAATCCATCCGAGAGCCATTTTCAGTCGAAAAAGCCTTATTTTAAGGCTCCTATGACTAAAACTCAGTGGCGAAGGGCTCAAAGAATCAGGAAGGCTAAGTATGAAGCACAAGCCTTGGCTCAAGCTCAAGCTCAAGTCCAGGCACAAGCGCAAGCTCGAATCCAAGCCCAAATTCGAGCCCAAAATCAAGTCCAACAAGTCCAGGGAAATGCCGCCAGAAATATGCGGTGTACCCCGGTTAGTGTCGAAGTCAAAACGACGCAAGAAAGAGCACCAGCAATGAAAAAGGACTTGAAGATAAAGAGCCTAGAAATCGAGTACGATGCGGATGATGAATTGATCACCGATGTATTCGAATCAGGCTTTGAAGATGATCTCGAGGATATACTTGGGGTTGTATCCATGCTGCCTGCTGAATATGCCGAAGGAATCGGCGAAGGAGATGAAGAAGACTTCTATGCTGATGACGAACCCGATAATAACCCATGGGGTTATTGTTATTTGGCAGAGGATGGTTCACTTGCTAAATCGTCGGCTATTTTTGAGAAGCCAACACGTGAAATGAAGAGCCATATGAAGCCGTTATACATTGCGGCTCGAATTGATGAAAAATTTTGAGTGAACAAAGTCCTCGTGGATTCTGGGGCAACTATCAATATTATGCCCAGTTTTTTACTGAAAAAGATTGGGAGATCCGAAGAAGATTTGCTCCCCCACAACTTGGTACTCACGGACTATGAAGGGAAATCTTCAAGTTCCAAAGGGGCCCTAATCATCAACTTGAGGGTTGGATCTGTTTCTCGAGCAACCATTTTCGTAGTGGTAGCTTCTAAGGCAAGTTATAATCTATTGCTCGGGAGAGAATGGATTCATGGGGTTGGGGCAGTACCTTCATCACTGCATCAGAAACTATGTCTTTGGAATAACAACGAAGTGTTGGAATACGTCGATGGAGATCAGAGCTATTTTAAGCCTGAAGTTCATGTAAGCAGTCTCGATAGCAAAACATTCGACAAATCTTTTGCCAACATTGCGCCACTTCGTATAGAAGATATAGGCGGCCCTCATTTTGGCTG